TGCAGCCGCAAGCTGGCGACATGCGCCGAGCACGACCTGGAGAACTACAGCATGTACTGCGTGAGCTGCCGCAGCCCCGTCTGCTACCAGTGCCTGGAGGCGGGCAAGCACGGCAAGCACGACGTGAAGGCCCTGGGCGCCATGTGGAAGCAGCACAAGGTGAGTCCCCCAGGAGGAGCTGGGCGATGGTCGGCGCTGGGATTTGTTTGACCCAATACCCTGACATTGGGTTGGAGTCTGTGGGAGGTGAGGATCCTTCATGTCCATCATCCTCCCAGACCTTTTTCCATATGGCACGGTGCTCTTATGCCTCCGGTCCTTCCTGACTTCCCAGTGACCCCATAGCTTCTGCTCAAGTTTAGAAAACTCAAAGACTCCCTCCCATATTTGTCTTGCCTTATCTCAGCCAACAAATTTCAAGCTACACCAAGAAACCTGGGATTAGTATGTCTGTTTTACAAACTTGTTTGCCTTTCACAGGTTCTTTGGCCATCCCGTCCTCTCACCAGTGGCAGCAGCAACCTCTGAGGAGCAGGAGTAGACAGGATGGCCATTCCTTCCTTTCACCACCTCCCTTTCACCTGGGGCTCAGTGGGAGCTCCCAACACCATTTCTCACCACATCTTCCTCCCTGCCATTGTGTCAATGAGGGACAGTGGCCTGGAGCCACTCAAATGTTTTAGACAGGAAAGTGTGATAGGGAGGATCACAAGAATATCATGTTGTCTCCTGGGCCTCAAAGAGGCCTCCCCTCCCTCTGAGTTCCCAAAGATGACAGAAGGAATAACTAGAGGGACCTTTATGATACAAAAATAAGTAAGAAAGAGTAGGATGGATGGGGCCTGGGGACAAGTAAATCTTTTTCTGATTCACATAATATTGTAGTCTGGTTCATGCTTCCCTGCAAGCAATGCTCCTTGGTCCTCCCTGGAGCCCCCACGGGAGGACATCAGAGCCAGACGCTTTGCAGCACAGGCAGTTTGTCAAGTTCTCGTAGAGCTGCTGGGTCACTTGGCCATGCTCTCCTTGTAAAAAATATTACTTTGCAACCGTTTGAATAAAGAGCAAGACATGACCTTAGAAGTTGTAGAAGTTACCTTGTTCTTGCTATGAACAGTGGACTCTGGGAAAATTATTAATGAAAACATACAAACGTACAGAGGGGACTGTAATACCTGAGTGCTGAGAGTAGTCTTTTGAGGCTTCCTGCTGTACTGGGAGGAAAAGGACTTCCCCCACAGCTGTGCAAAGAGCACTTGTCCAGCTCTGCTGGCCACAGGATTCCCTTCTTCTCACGCTCTGCTACAGTTAGCAGTAGAGGAAGCATGAAGAGATCCCGTCAGACACTGCAGGAGAGGACAAAATCAAGACTGGTCTCTCCCTCAGCCATGCAGTGGTTGAGCACAAGCTAGGCTAAGACATTTGACAAGGCAAAAAACCCCAACCACTTTCAGTTTTAAGATTAAAAAAAGATGCCCCTTGAGGTGATCTGCATAGTTTGTCCATGTGAGAATGGCAAACTTCTTCAGTACGTGTTGCAGTTTGAATGCTCTCTGCCAAGGGCTCTGCCATCCCCTCCTTAAGGTGACAAGTCTCTGTGCAGAGAAGTTCTCTTGACCCAGAAGGAGCAGGTTACAAATTTGCAGCTATTGCTGCTTATGCCAATGGCAGGATCCACTTCTGAGCAGAATTATTTTAAGAAGCAGGGACTGAGTTTGCTGTGCAAGTGTGGCTGGTGTTTTGGAGTGTGAGAGATCAGCTTGTGCTGTATCATGGTCTGCCCTGTTTTAACTCAGGAACAATGTGTTAAATTCTGGTGCAGTCAAAGTGCACAGACAATAATTTTCTTTCTTTCCTACTGTCAAACATTGTCAAAAGAAAGTACAATACCCTGGTGGTTTGTATTTTTACTGCATTTTTTTTCTGGGAGTAAGGTATCACAGAATGTGAATTTTCTCTTGATTTACAGACCTAATCAATGTGAAAATACTAGCAAAAGAAAAAAATACAGAAAATTAACTAATTGGGGGACTCTAAAATTGTGCTCTTGTGAATGGTATTTTTCCCAGAACAATGTGCTTGACAGAAAATAAATATAATGGAACCACATAGCCAGAAAGCCTAAATCATCAGCTCACATTCATTAAGATGAATTGTTTTGGAATTAGATACTTCTGCTTAGAAATAGTTCTCGAATACAGCAATTTCGACAAGTTTATTACCTGTAGTTACTTTGGCCAAACCATAAATTACTTCCATTGAATGATGTGCCAAACGTTATACAAGCTTTACATGTTCCCTCCAGATGCTCCAGACGTAGCTGGTGCAGGCAGGCGGAAGGGCTTGTCCCTAAGCGTTCTTAGCCCAGGAAATTTGTCAGACTGACAGTTGTTCACTATCAGCTGATAAGCACCTGCTTATCTCCTTCCAAGGCCAGTGGCTGGTATTCTTCACCCAAGAAGGGCTGCCAGAGCCATTTCCCCACCTCTCACAGTTTCATCCCACACCAGCAAACTTGAACCAGTTTTTCTACTGACTTCTAGAAATTGCTTTTCCAGATGCCCTGCCTGCCTGCACCATCAGAATCCATTCACAGACCACTGCTGTATCTGCCTTATGTTCCACCTGTTTGACTGCTTCTTTCTCTGGGCGTTATGGAGTGATTAAGTGGCAAATAGAGTGTATAACCTATCTACACAGTGCTTCAGACCATGCAACAAAACGTGCATTTACCCTCAGCTCTACTCCTGGCATGAAAGCTGTACAAGATTGGTTGGCCCCTCTTCATGGGGCGGGTTTGCCCTTTACACTGCTCCATGTAACTTCTTCAGAGAAATTTAAAATTGTGTATGATAAAAACAGAGGCCAAATAACATAAATCAGTGTAAATATACTGACTTAACTGGACTTCATTATATTCACAGAATCACAGAATCACAGAATCACAGAATCACAGAACGTTAGGGATTGGAAGGGACCTCAAAAGATCATCTAGTCCAATCCCCC